ACCATTCAAATCCAAGATCATGAAGAAAGAAAAGACGGACAGTACTAAGTGGTGAGGAGCATAAGAATGTTGGCATTGCACAAACATGGTTTCAAATCCCCATTCTGCTCTTACAGGCTGGGTGACTTTGGGCAGGTTATTTAATAAGTTCTGAGTCCCCCTTCCTCAATGTCAATGTCATAGAGTTGACATTTAAATTAAAATAAGATAAAATTAAATTAAAATAAGATAATACATATAAACTAGATACTTAAAGTCTGTATCTCTCTCCATCCCCACACACATGCACAGCGAACCCACACCCCTTCCCTGACAAAACCTGGAGCCACGGCTGAAATCACCCTTGGCCCCAAGCCCAGCTGCTCCCCAGGCACAGCCCAGTTTTGCACATTAGTCCTTAGGGGTTAAAAATAGCACAGGCAGCTAGCTGAGCTCGGTTAATAAAATATCCAGGTTAATTTTAGCATCAAAAAGCTCAAGAGAATATAAAATCCCTGATGCCAAGAACCACATGTGGCCAGCATGGCCCCTTCTTACACTGTCAAATAACCTGCCCAAAGTCACCCACATGTAAGAGCAGGACACACACACACACACACACACACACACACACACATGCACACGCTAATGTAACTTATATCACTCCCTTACATTCACAAAATATTTTCTCTAATTGAGAAAACAATTTCTTCTTAACCCTGTAAAGACACTACTACTAACAATAACAGTTTAACTTACTAAGCAGGACCACCACCTCATTTGATCCTTACCGGACCCTGTTACGGACACATACTGTTTCCCACGAAGGAAATCAGGTGAAATATATCACGTTTAGCAGAGTGGACCTAGAACCCTGCGCTCCCAACCCGTGTTCTGGGCTTTTTCACCATGCCTCCTCCTCACCAGCCAAGGGAGGCACAGGCTAGGACCCTCAGCCACCATTCCCTGTTCTCTCACTTGGCACCCTGTCAGGGACCTCCTGCTTCTGGGATTATGTTTGCATCTCGGTGGAGGGAGGGCAGAGGCTGGGGCAGGCCCACACACAGGGCCACATTTTGCTGAATGGGAGGAACTGTCAGGTCCAATGTGCTTGTGCTGGACCCAGACTGTCATCGCCCTTCTTGGTGGACAAGCTCTAATCTTACACTGAAGGAATATGAGAGCTTGCTCTGAGCCCAGTTAGCACAAGAGGAGCGGCTCCAAGGAGGAGGGAGAGACGGGGTCAGAGGAAGGCCTGCAGCAAGGAACCAGGCGGAGCTCAGCCTCACGAGGGACACACAGGCCAACACACCAAACGGGTCCAAACTGCACCCTCATACCCAGGATAGAAACCACTAACAAAGCAAAAGGGCTTTTCTCACTCTGAAGTGAAAGGCTAGGATATGTTTTAGCTTAAGAGAAACACCTTTGTATATTGCCCTTAATTGAACACTTTTATTGAGATAAAATGAATACTTAAAAATGAGTAGTAATTATTACGGAAAAAAAGAAAAGATCACTGGGAAGTGAAGCTATAATATCGCACAATGCCTAAAGGAGTGTTGAGTCCAAAATAACTCTGCCCAGCAGAAGTGCTCTCATTGTGGGTTCTTCCCCCAATCAGCGCCTGCAAATCTTCAAGTTGCTTCCCTTCCAGCTCTAAGTCCTGACTCATGGAAAGTCAAAAGAACACACTTCCTCAAAATAGCCATCTCATAGGAAGTGTGTTCAGTCTTACATGACATGAAACACTGGTGTAACAACAGTAATAACTGGTAGACAATGTTTAAGATTTTTAAGTGTCCAGAAGAGCTCTTCAAGATAATTCTGCGAGATTTAAGTAGGGAAAACAACAGGTTCTTCAAGACAAGGACTCAAAATACTTACAATAAAAATACCTCACTTTTATTTGGCACTTTCTTATGCATTATCTCATTTGCAAAAGGTGGAAGAAAAAAGAAAGGGGGGGAGGAAAAAAACAGAAGAGATTCTTCTCATTTTCCCTAACTTTAAGCCTTTCAATGAGACCAAGTACCATCACACTTTCCAAAACTATTTAAGAACTAAAATGCCAAGGCTCCCACACCTAATAAACTCTTCATCCCCCCAAAAAAACGTTCTGCCTTTTTTTCTTAACAACAGTAGTGATACTGCTTACTGGTATAACTTTAGGGAGAATTTTTCATTTTGCTTTTTCTAGGAGTGAGGGGGCGGGTATTAATGTAAGCCTGAACAACACTGTCTTGTAAGCTCCCACCGGATGCAGTAGACAATAATAGCCTGCATTTTGCAAAAGGGAAAAAGGCTATGAAAGGGGAGGACACTGGCCCTGGGTCATCCAGCAGGCCAACAACAGACATGGGGGCATGCAGCCAGCTAGCCTGGAAATAAGGCTTAGAGATGAATGGACGGCTTGGCCAGTGTCTCCAAACAAGGAGAGGCGAGTGTGCATGTGACCGAGTGTGCAGTGACTCATGCACGTCTGCCCCTCCTCCAAATCAACTATTGCATCGCTCATCATCGGGCCTTCAAGATCAGGGCATTCAGGCAAGTCAGAGCCAAGACGGGCCACAAACAGACGACTAAGGGAAGAAATCAGCATGCCAACTACTATGGTTGGGATCATGGTCATCCTGTTCTACTAACAGGTTTCCCCTCGAGTTAAATGAGACTAAGTGCCAAACCTGCCTGCACACAGTTCATCTGCCAGTTCTCCAGCCCAGGCTCTAATTCAGCAGCACAACCTTGACCATGTCTGTGCTCAGACGCAGGGGGATGCCCTGTCTATGCTATGTGTAGGCCCTGGTTCCCTGCACACACACCCACTACAACGGCGGGAGCCTTCTGCAGCCCAGCAGTGTAGGTGAAAATCCCTTGGCAGGAGAGAAAATAGGAGCTTCTCAGAGCTGGAACCACGTCCAGTGAGTTGCACAGGCGTTTCTGCCTAGCCCCCAAATGTAGGAGGGAGGTAGGAAGGCTCCAAAGATTCTAACAATACCCAGACCCCACGTGGGGTTAGAGGCGGCAGATGTTCCAGTCACTGCACTAATCCTCAGCTGAGCCGGGTGTTTCTCTCACTTGCTTAAAGTGGAGCACACAAGAGAGAACACCTAACCAAGCAGTGTCTTCTAACCCCCTTCCTTCCACACTAGATCCCTGTGTTGGGGCCCAGAACCCTCCCGCAAGCATGCACCAACAGGCCAGCGTGGCTGCTCTCCTAGACCACTGGGTGTCTCCTTGCCCTCCTGTTCCCAATACTATGCCATCCTGGAAAGAAATCAATGCTCTCAGCCTAACGAACCACCATTCCTGAACTCTCCTTGAGTACAGTGTGAGGTAGGCTGGCTGTACTGGGTCTGGACCACAGGGTCCCCAGACCCATTCCTGCCTGCTGCACCAGAAGCCTGGCACAGTCCCCGACAGCCACGCCGCTGCCACTCCAATGCTACCATCCTGTTCACTTTGATTAAGCAAACTCCTCAAATCCTCCAGGGCGACATCTGCCACACAACTGGACCCAGGCATTAGGTTAGGTTCTTGGTTGAGGGGACCCTAACAAAGGCACTTTCCCCTGCCGTCATTTCAGGTGGAGCGCAATGTTGAATCTTTCAGTATGAAAGTGCAGCAGATTTCAACCAAGCCAACATGAGAAACCCTCCCTCCCCAGACAGACTCCTCAAGGCTGAAGTGCTGTCACATCCGATCCACAGTGCTTCTGAGCCAAAGATCAACAGCATCTCAGCGATGATCCATAAACCAAAATAAAGCAGACAGGAAACAACACGCTGATTTGGGGTAGCTGGAATTCCTCAGGCAGCGTCAGATGTCATCAACAACTGACACTTCAACAGTCACTGGGTGCCTGGCTCGGTTCCCTGGAGCCCTTTTTCATGTGGGAACAGATAAGAGTGTGGAGTATTCCTAGAGACAGAGAGTTCAGTAGGCAAGAAAGCCCCTGAGGATGGAGACACTCTGGGGACCTCAGAACTGTCCTCTCACCCTGCACATGTATGGCATTAATGTGTAACAGTCATTCCAGGAACCGATCTTGTTATGTTTGTTTTGGTTTTGTTGTGGGTTTTTCTGGGGGGGAGCGGGGGGGACTTGCACATCACCCTCCCTAGATAAAACAACTAGGAAAAAGCAAATCTGACCAGATAAACCCAGGAAGTCCAGATATAGCCCTCCAGCCCACTCCAGAATCTGCATTTCATTTCCCTCCCCCAGCTCTTGAGTCCAGTAAGAAAGGCAGAATCCTCCCGGGTGACAGGGCCTGAATGGCAGGCCCTGGTGGCCAAAAGCTCCATCCGGCAGCCAGTTCTCAATGGAAGGTGGGGGAAGGGTGGCTCCTGTGTCTCCCAGCCCTGAGGGAGTTCTGGGTGCGCTTCACACATTCACACGCGGGCATATGCACACACAAACACACATTTATCTACAGATGTGTGCACACACAGAGATACACACACACACAAAAACAGACACATCCACCCACACAGACGTATACAGACACAGGCACCAGTCAGCAGCAGGACCCGGCCCCACGCCCCAGGGGGAACATGTGGAAGAGCTTACACATTCCCAGAAAAGGAAGTTTCTGGGTGCAGGAGCTGAGGGGAGATACCGAATCCTGAGGTCAGTGTATTTGGCACCTGAAATGCACGCATCCACGAGAGTCCTCAAACGCGTTTATGCATACACAGGCACACACTCATGTACACACAAGCACGCACACAGGCACACACTCCTAGCGGATACCGGGTCTGCGTTCTGCCCCGCACCTCCCCCAACGTACAGGGGACGCCAACCGCTGCACTGTGCCTCTGGTAACTTGGGGCCGCTCGCGGCGCAGGGGAGGCGCGGATGGCTGTGTTCCCCGTAGCCGCGGGACCGACCATCCCCAGGAAGTGGGGAGGGGCCTCGACCCGGGAGTGCGCATCTCCAGGAGCGGATTGGGGACCTGGGGTCGCCCGCCCCAAGATCCGCGAAGACCCCGCCGTCCCCGCCGGCTCCCGAGATCTCACCGATCTTGATCTTCACGCTCTGGAAAACCCGGAGCCCCTCTTCCTCCACCGCCATGCTGGTCGGAATTCGCGCGCGGAGACCCGCTGTACAGCTGGAGCCAGAGCCGCAGCTCAGTACCGCGCTCGGCGCCCTACCCTGCGCGGGGCTGGTCCCGGGAGCCCCCGCCCCAGGGCTCCGCCCACGTGCCCGCCCATTAGCCTTGCCCAGCTGTCCATTGGCCGAGGTCCTTAGAGGGGCAGGGATATTACAGTTCCGCCCACAGCGCGACCCCCAACTACCCATTGGCTGAGGACTGGGAGGCGGGAGCGAAATTGTTCCGCCCACAGCCCAATCCCAGCTCCCCATTGGCCGAGCCCGGGCGGGGAGGGAACCGGGAAAGGGGTCTGGGGTCCTGAGTGGGGCGGGGCGGGGACGGCTGGAGGATAGAGGGGCGTGGAGAAGCCGCGCGGAGGTTCCGGGCGGGGGGCGGCGGGAGGCCAAGCGCCGCGGGTACCTGGCGGGGCTTAGGGAGAGGAGACCCGGCGGAGGAGGGGATGGGGAGAAGGGGTGGGAGTAGGAGGGGGGGCACTAGGCCAAGTGCACAGCTGTCTGCCCTCGCTGACCCGCAGGCATCTGCAGGGCCCTTGCTCACCTCATTTACTTATCTGTCTCAAGGTCTTCTGACTTCCTCTCCACTTCGCTCCTTTATCTTCATAGAAGCCTACACCACACACACACACACACACACACACACACACACACACACACACACACACACACGCGCCCTGCATATACCAGACAATAAGCTTAATGAACACAGGGGTCTGTTCTTTTCACTGCTTTATCCTCACTTCTTAAAAAGGAATTAAGGTCCATTCTTTACCCTAACTACTTTAGCTTCCTTCCAGGTCTTAATCATCTGCTTGAGTCTATCCTCTCAAGAACCTTAATAGGTAGTGTTTATTGGTGGGTTAACATGGAGGTTAGGAAAGCACCTTCTCCTTGGTTCAAACCCCAGTATTGCTGCATCTAACTCCAGGACTTTGGGAGGTTTCTGTAGTGCATGCTGTTTTGTGCCATCCAGACTTCCCCGCTTAAGACCAAGGCTTTGTTGAGGTCTGTCAGGATAACTGAATAGCAACCCTGGCTCCCGAGCTTCTCAGAGGATTGGCTGAGGCCTCGTAGCAACTGCATTGTGGTTAAGCTACTTCTCTGCTGGATTCTTCTTCCCTGGAATACTCAGGACTGTGTTCTGAGAACACTACTGATAAACTCCTTCACACAGATCTCTGCCTCAGAGTCTGTTTCTAAGGGAACCCAGCATAAGAAAATTGGGGCCAGAGTGTCTAAGAGCAGCCTCTATGATGGGGTTTGAGAGCTGAATGCCCACTGACACATCACTGGTAGCACAACCCTGCCATGCTGTAGCAGTGGTGAGCTGGAATGAAAGTCTGTGGAAGGAAACACACTGGCTGGTGCAGTGTCTCAGGCATTAGAAAGGTTGGGAAAGCAGTCATTATCTGAACTGCGGAATCAGGTAGCTCTTGCTGAGGGCAAAGCTATGAAAAGATCAACAATTTAAAGAAAAGTGTGACAAAAAGAGGCTCCCTTGGTACCATATAAAGACACTCTCATCTCCTGCAACCAGAAAACAACAACAAAACAAGCCATGGATCAGAGCCAGGACTTAAACATGAAGATTGCAGTGCTCAAAGAGACGGTTGAATGCTCAGCCCAAGGAAGGTTGCTGTAACAAGGTCAGGACTCTGGTTGGGAAGAAGGGAAACCCTGAGGCTTGAGGGAGGGTTATCTGGATTAATGTACTCAAAAATCTTGAATCCCAGATTTCCCTAAATCTTCTGGATCTGAAGAGGTGTCCCACTTCTCCCTAATAAAGGCAAAAGCTCTCTAGGCTTGAAGATGATGCAGAGCCCTCTGAAAGACAATGCATAGACCTCAGTGGCCTACCTCCAGCCCACTCCTCCACATTTGCATCCCCCAGCTGGAGAGGTGATGAGCCTGAAGAAGGAGGAAGGTCCTGTCTGCAAAGGAGTTTCAGGACCTAGGAAACCTGTGCCAGTGGGAGCTGGGAGAGTAAATGCAGAACTATTGTAGGTCCAAAGAATGTTGTATTCAGGGGAGGCAGAAAATAAAAGTAGATCAGGTTAGAGTTTATTGATAGGGTATCATTCAACCATGATACAGGATTTGGCATCCTGGCAAGTACTGAATGCCAGTAGTATGGCCTTTGGAAGCTTGTAGAAAGCAATGTTACACACTAAATGAAATAGGAATGCCAAATGGGTGTCGCAGACAGCAGAAGAAGACATTCACACGCTCTGAGAAGTGCCACAGGGGAGTCAATATACTTCATAAAACCAGGAAACCCATTGGGTTGTCGGAAAAGTCATGACGTATTTTGTCTATGTTTTTCAAAGGTCATTTATTTATATAAAGAACAAAGATCATCAATGATATATTGCCCATTTTGTTCGATAACCTTTTGCCATCTTTCAGTGAGCTTCATAATTCCTCATTCATAGAAGAACCTGTCTTTATTTGCAAAAAAACTGAACAAGGTACTGATTTACAGCCTCATCTGAATTGAACATTATACCATACAAGGAATTTTTAAGAGAGCGAAACAAGTGGAAGTCTGACGGCACAAGGTCAAGCGAGTATGGTGGGTGTGGCAACACATCCCATCCAAGCTCGAACAATTTTTTTTTGATATTTTATTGGGAAATTGAGGAAGGGGAACAGACAAGTTGCTATCCTTTTGTTCTTCAGTCTAGTTGTGGAGGGCGTTGCTTCACTGGCTCATGTTGGTATTATCATTGTGCTCTTCCTGGGTGAGGCCATTGGACAGCCACTCATGGCGGCTCATAGCAGCAGCTCATGGCAGCTCATGAAAGCTCATGCCAGCTGCTGACCAGCCCCACTGCAGCCTACACCATTGCCGGCGACTCACGGCAGCCCAGCTCCAGGTTGAGCTGTTGTTGTTCACCATCTTAGCTGTAGAGAGCGCAGCGTCACTGGCCCTCATGTGGGATCTGAACCAGGGTCCTGCTGCTCAGAGCTGGCGTCCCAAGCCAACTCTTAACCAATGCACCACTCAGCTGGCCCCAAGCTCCAATAATTTTTGACGGGTGATCAAACTTGTGTGTGGTTTCGCGTTGTCGCAGTGGAACACAACTCCTTTACAATTAACAAGTTCTGGACATTTCTGGATGATGGATTTGTTCAAACTGTCCAATTGCTGACAGTACACATTTGAATTGATTGTTTGGTTCCTTGTTAGGAGCTCGAAAAACATGACACCTTTAAAATCCCACCACACTTAAGAGCATAACCTTCATCTGATGAATGTCTGCTTTCGATGTCATTTGAGGCGAATCATCATGTCGGGACCAAGAACGTTTGTGCATCACATTGTTACCAACAATCCTCTTCTCATCACCAGTTATCAGTCACTTCAAAAAAGTATCATTTTCCTCATGTTTAATAATCATATTGCAGATGTTCATACGTGCCATGAAATGAACTTCTTTGAGTTCATGCGGAACCCAAATATCAAGCTTGCTTACATATCCCTGCTTCTTCAGATGGCCATGAATGCTTGAATGGTGGATGTTCAATGTTTCTGCAATCTCCTGTATTGTGTAATGTGGGTTTGACTTGATCAATGCCTTTATTTTGTCATCATCAACCTCGGTGGACCTCCCTGACCGAGGAGTGTCGTTGAGATCAAAATCACCAGCAGAGAATTTCATGAACCATTGTTGGCACTGTGGAAATAAAACAGTAAAATATGGCAAAAAATGCACAGTTTGGTCTTCCATCTTCAACTTGTAAACTCTCCAAGACTCAACCAAATCGCTCAGTTTTTTTTTAGAGTGAAGCTAGAACTGTCAGCTGTCAAATGACATAGTAATAACATAGATGCGAATGACTCCAGTACTTCCAAAAATGAACTAGTGCCATCTGTTGCAAACATGCGTCATGACTTTTCTGACAACCCAATAGTTGCTGACTTGGAAAGCCCAGAGGACACTCCATTTACCAAAGTGATGAGGAATGTCTGGTGAGATCTTCAGTGTGGTTGGCCACTGCAGGATTGGGCTGAGGGTAGAGATGCTGTTACAGGGAGCATTAGGCTCCCTGATAGCAATGAGGATGATCAGATAGTGACACAATAGAGACCAGGTGATAACATTTTACCATCAGAAGCAAGGTAGGTGTACTTATTGTAGTGAACAGCAGGACTGGAATGGCAGCCTGGGTACCCTGAACTGCAAAGAGCTAGAGAAATGGTCAGCCAAACACAGCACCAGCACATGACAAATAGCCAGCCAGCAGGAGTGTTGCTCAATTTATACAACCAAAGGAAATCAAAGATAGGTATCAGGAGGCTGGAGAAAGTTGTCCCAATAAAATGTCACAATCTTTTTCCCAGTTTCCAGACATGAGCCGATTCTCATCCTCAGAACCCACTGACTGAAGGAGAGGACCTGGCTACAAGTATATATGGTAAGAATTCCCCTAGGACTTCCTCAAAGGGGACTGTGACCATTTACTCAGATAATTGTACATCTGGGAAAGGGAAACACCTAGATATTTTGAGGGCTGTTGGGCTCGGGGTCTGAGTTGACATTGGTACCCAGGAACCCAAAGAGTCATCATGCCTTGTTAGAGTGGGATTTGTGAGGTCCAGGAAATAAATGAGCTCCTGGTCCAGGAGTGGTTCACATTGGGTCCACTGGATCCATTGGCCAACCAAGTGATCATTTCCCCTGGCACTGAAGGTAAAATTGGTATGGACATATGTGACAATTGTCAGAACACACACATTGGCTCCTTGGTGTTTGGATTAAGAGTCATCCCAGCAGGGAAGGCCAAGTGGGGTGTCAAGATGGAAAATAAAAAATAATAGCATACTCTGGGGAAAAAATAGAGAACAAGACTGCCCTTAAAGACCTAAAGGGTCATTGCATTCACCAGTCCCTCCTCTGATACCAGATAGGTTCTAGAGGATGAGAGTAGACCACCACAAACTCAACCACAGATTAACCCCAATTGCAGCTGCAGTGCCAGCTGTGGTGCCACTGCCAGGCCATATCAACATAGCCTTTGGTCCATGGTATGTGGCCATACAGCTGACAAATACACTCTTCTCCATCAC